CAAATATAAGTCCATGTAAAAAAAAAAAAAGATACAAAGTTCATAAAGTTTTTAATGTAAGTTTTACATTAGGTTTGAAGGACACCTGGATGCAGTGGCACTGTGTTGAGGACCCCACAATGCAGTGTCACTGCACAAAGGACAGCACAACACAGTCGCACTGCACTACAGACACCTCAACACACTGGCACTGCACTACTGACCCCACAATGCAAGGGCAATGCACTAAGGACAGCACAATGCTGTGGCACTGCACTACTGACCTGACAACGCAGTGGCAGTGTACTATGGACACTGCAATGCAGTGGCACTGTGCTATGGACACCACAACACAAAGGCACTGCACTATGGACTCCACAACAGTGCAGTGGCACTGCACCGAAAACACCACAATGCAGACCACACAACACAGTGGCACTGAACTCGGGACAACACAACTCAGCGGGATTGCATAATTGACCTTCATAATGCAGTGGCAATGCACTAGACAGCACAACACAGTGACAATGCACTACAGCCTCCTCAAAAATACACTGACACTGCACTACTGACCCTATAATGCAGTGGCACTGAACTAGGAACACCACAACATGGTGGAACTGCACAACTGAGCCCCTAACGCAATGGCACTGGACTAGGGACACCATAACACAGCAGGACTGCACAACTAACTCCATAATGCAGTGACACTGAACTACGGACAGCAAAACACTGTTGCACTGCACTACAGACACTTCGATACACTGGCACTGTACTACTGACCCCACAATGCAATGACATTGAACTAGAGACACCACAACACAGTGGCACTGTACAACTGAACCCACAATACAATGACACTGGACTAGGGACACCACAACACAGTGGCAAGTGGCACTGCGCTACGGGCACTGCGCAATGCATTGGCACTGCACTAAGGAGGTGTGGAGTCCATAGTGCAGTGCCTTTGTATTGTGGTGTCCATAGTGCAGTGGCACTGCATTGTGGGGCACTGCACTGAACTAGGGACACCACAACACAGTGGCACTGCACAACTGAGCCCCTAACGCAATGGCACTGGACTAGGGACATCATAACACAGTGGCAAGTGGCACTGCACAACACAGTGGCACTGCATCGCATCCACTCCAATGCAGTGGCACAAGGTTTGCAATGACAGCAAACTATATGTGCCTCCCCTCCTGTCCAAAACCTAAAATGCAAACCATGGGTCTTTCTCTTAAAAAAGCAAAACCTTTTTCAGTTGGCAAAGGAGCAAAGAGTCCAAAGCCAACCAGGCTTGACTTACCTCCCGCAGCAGTTAAACTCTGGCTCATATTTTGCAATCTGGCAGAGCTGGTAAAACAGGTGGCTCCGGAGTCCAGAGGCTCCTGGACGGAAGAGGGACACCTCTCCTGTTGCAAGAGGCCGAGCAGCGACCCGTATTTTCCATCGGAGACGGTGCCCTGGGCCAGAGGCAGGTCGGGCACGGAGGGAGAGTAGCCCGCAGCGGCAGTCAAATGTGGATTTCTTCCCGAAGGCAAATGCCACAGCTCCAGGGGGGAAGGAGGAGCGCCTTGGAGAGCCGGGGACTGATAGGGGTCGGTCGGCACCGGGGCTGGATTCGCATCAGCGCTGGACGGATTTAATGGAGGCGGCGTCTGATACGGCTTCGCCCACTGGGGCGAAAAATCCCACTGTTGGGGAGGCATGCGGCTTTCTGTTCATTGTTTTTAAAAGAAGAATTAAAAAGAAGATGAGAAATGTTTAAATGAAAGAAGGCATTAATGTGATCATTCATTCGTTCATTCATTGTCATGCAGGCCTGACATCCTTAATATAGGATGAAAATACATGTCAGGTTGAGCCAGTGTGGTGTAATGGTTGGAGCACTGGACTATGACTCTAGAGACCAGGGTTCGAATCCCGGCTCGGCCATGAAAACCCACTGGGTGACCTTGGGCAAGTCACACACTCTCAGCCTCAGGGGGTGGCAATGGCAAACCCGCTCTAAACTAATCTTGCCAAGAAAACCCCATGATCGTTTCAACTTAGGGTTGCCATAAGTCAGAAATGACTTGAAGTCACACAACCACAAATACATATCTGAGGGCCAGTGTGGAGTAGTGGTTTGAATGTTGGATTACAGCTCTGGATATCAAGGACTGACTCCCTGCTTAGATATGGAAGCCCACTGGGTCACACACTCTCAGCCCCAGAAAACCCCAGGAACTGCCCTGGCTCAATGCTACAGATTTCTAGGACTTGTAGTTTTGCGAGATATTTAGCCTTCTCTTTCAGAGAGTTCTGGTGCCACAAGAAACTACAAATGGTAGGATTTTTTAAAAAAAAATAAAAATAAAATTGTTTACTGTTTTAGATAATGAACTTTGTACTTTGGCACACACTAATAAAGATTTATGAAACCACATCTTGTTGCAGTTCCAGTGGCATCAAACTGCATTATTTCTGCAGTGCAAGTTAGACTTCACTTTGCAGCAATGGAAGAAAACTGAGGACCAAGGGGGAAAGTGGGAGAAGGAGAGAGAAACTGGGACATTTTAAAATCAGATGAAAAAGTGGGACAGCAGAGGATTAATCGAAAAAGTTGGAGGGTTATGTGCGCAATCTGCCACTAACTCATAACCACCAAACCAGAGAGAAAGAGGCTCACCATTCTTGACCATCACATCTTCCCCGCTGCTCTTTCTGCTCAAATCCTGGGGGATTTTGGTTGTGCTCAATGCTCTGGAGAAGTGTTCATCCACCACACTGTTGATGTCTCCTTGGAAGTAAGTGAACACTACATATTGGGCTCCCCACTCTGTTTTCACAGGTTGCTTGCTTTTGCTCAGCTTTGCAGAATTATCCTTCCTGTCTTCCATAGCTGGGGATGTTTTTTTTTTCCACCTGCACCTTAAAAAAAGAAAAGAAGGGAAAGCAAAATAAAGAGATCCAGTTTTTGGATAGAAATGGCTGGAGAGTCACCATTTTTTTGCAGAATGTGGAGCGACGCAAAAATAAGAGAAGTTCCTTTTTTTGAGTTCTCAACATGCCCACAGCTACTATTGCACCATGAACTCAGTTTGCAGCAATGGAAGTATTCTGAGGATGAAGTGGGAAAGCGGAAGGAAGGGAGAGAAACTGGGACATTTTAAAAGCAGCCCTCTCTTCCCATCCCACACCATACAGAATCCTTAGTAATGTTTTGTGGGTTTTTTGCACTGATGTTATTGAGCGATCATGATTCCCAAATATCACCAAATGCAGTGAAAATAATGGCACTAGTTGTAACATAATAATAATAATAATAATAATAATAATAATAATAATAATAATAATAATATAAAATTTTATTTATATCCCGCCTTTAGCCGAGGCTATCAAGGCAGCTTACAATCTAAAAGCACAATCCCATACAATACAAAGAACATTCACCCCCCCTAAAATATATATTAAATTCATAAAACATAAAACTCCTAGCAAAACTAAAACTGTACCTTTAAATTACAATATTGTATATGCACAGCCGAAATGTAGTTACATGTGCATCAATTCATGTGGCCAGAGTGAAAATTTGGTAAGAGATGATGTTTCCAAGGAAAATTTTAAAAGAAATTTGTTTGTTTGTTTTTTGAAAAATTAAAAATTTCAATTGATTTTAAACAAAAACTTGGGGACTCTCCTTTTTCCTTCCATCGAGCCTCACCCCACTCACACCATCACTTCATCATTTGGTAGTAGTTCCCAAACTTTGGTCATCTGGGTTATTTGGACTTCAGCTCCCAGAATCCTCAGCCAGCTTGGCCAATAGTCAGGAATTCTGGGAGCTAGAGTCCAAAACAACTGGAGGACCAAAGTTTGGGAATCACAAAGGCATGCAGGTGAAGGCCACAGCCCATTTCTACCAAAAGGTAGATGTTTGGGGAGCAGTGGTGTCACCCCTTTTAGTTGAGATAAATTCCACTTTAAAATCATCCAAATAACTCACTCAACATTTTATGAATTTAACATGTGGCTTTTTATATACTACAGCATTTTATTAACAGCTGCACGCCAGGACCCTCTTTGAAGTGGTTTTGTGGCATGACATTCTGCAATACTTGCTGAACTGAAGACACTTTGCATCTTAACATTTGCACTAAAATGTGCGATGCAAGGCCAGAAAGTTAGTTTTTCACTTTGCGATACGTTTTGTCTACTTGATCTTTATGAAACAAAGTGGCAGCTGGGGAATTCTGGATTGTACAGTCCACAGTTCTCATTTCCAAATTCTTCTGACGGACACTGGAACCTCTCCCAACACTCTGGTTTTCTGTTTTTCAGAAAATGCTCAGGAGGACCTGAAGCAGCCGCTTCACTCCGATTCAACCAGAAGGCAGGTTTGGGTAACACCTGAGCTGCCAAACCAGAGCCACCAAAGATTGCTGCTCCCTTCCCTTCCCATCCTAGGACTTTAAAAAACATGGGCTGCATCCGCACTGCAGAAATAATCCGGTTTGACCCCACTTTCAATGCCATGGCTAAGTGCTATGGAAGTCTGGGAACTTTGCTAAGGCTCACAAACTGGGCAGACCCCCGTGCAAGAGCAACCTTTGGAGAAATTCATCCTGGCCTGGGAGGAATGCAGGAAGATGGCATCGTGTGACATTGGAGCAGAGACAGTTTCTTCCCACTAATTATTGTCCTAATTTCCCAACCGTTGAGAGATAAAAATAAGCACTTGCAGCCAAAGCTGCTAGACAAGAGCAGCATTCGTTGCTACACATCTCCTTCTCCTTCATCAGATTCAGGAGAGCCTTTCAACCCGGGGAATCACTTTGAGAAGTTTGGGAAGAGGGCATTGCCCCCCAAAATGAGAATTCACATACATAAATGACATTTCCCTTTGGTCCCCAAATTTCTTGTTGTTGTCATTGTCATTTTTGACTTGGAAAGACTTGTACAGAGGGGGTTTGCCATTGCCATCCTCTGAGGCTGAGAGTGTGTGACTTGCCCAAGGTCACCCAGTGGGTTTTTAATGCTCGAGCTGGGGATCGAACCCTGGTCTCCAGAATCATAGTCCAGCACTCAGACCAGTAATCCATGCTGGCTCTCCTTCAAATTTCTAGCATTGCAAAAGCCAGATGTTGAAAATCGTTCTAATATTTGCTACGTAAAGAGATCTTGTAGCCCCTTTGAGACAAACTGAAATAAAGAAGTTGGCAGCATGAGCTTTCGTAGACTTCAGATGCATTTGGTGGAGTGGAAAGCCAAGGACAGACCTATATGAATCATTTGTATGCAAGAATGTCATTTCAGATTCAACATATTTGCTATGTTTTCATTCCCTTGGTCACTCTGATGGCCCCTTTTCTTTGAATCATAGAATTACAGAGTTGGAAGGGACCCTAAGGGTCATCCAATCCAACCCCCTTTGGCCAAGCAAGAGGACACCATCAAAGCATCCTCGACAGATGTCCATCCAGCCTCTCTTTAAAAACCTCCAAAGAAGGAGACTCCACCATTTTCCAAGGCAGCATCATCCAACATCGAACAGCTCTTACCATCAAGACGTTCTTCCTAATGTTTAGGTGGCATCTCTTTCCTTTGGGATGCCTGCACTATATTTTTCTAAGTGAATTTTTGAATTTACAGCTGTGCTAAAAACTGGAGTCCGAAAGAAAAATTCATGGGGGGGAGGTAAAGAATTATTATTTCAGAGGGGCGATGCCCTCCTTTGGCACCCACCTTCTGCCTTAAACATTGCAAGAACAATCTGATGGAGCTGTATTTATAGTATCCTTCTTGCCTCAATGGATGGATTCTGGGAGCTATAGTCCAGCTGAATACATTTTTCAAGCTCTGCCCATTGACTGAGATATGACACGAATCAGACTTTTTCCAAGAGTCTCCAGGACCAGGGTGACTTACCCAAATGTGCCGCCTTCTGTTCAGCTGCCCTGGAGAATGAAGCTCATGCTTCAGCCTGGCCAGTCTCCATCCGCACACCAACAGCGGCGTTGTGCATCCAACCCTGGGTGCAAAGGCTTGTGTCCGTGTGTGTGTGTGTCCTGTGTGTGCAATGGTGCCGGTTTGCTTTCTGTCCCTCCAGCACTGAGCGAACTAGGCGTATCCTTCAGGCTTGCCACCAGGAATGCATGCAATGCACCCCAGCAAGTCAACCAGGTTTGGAGGTTTCAGGAATGAGGAAAATAAAAGGGTTTGTTTGGTGTGTTTCACAAAGGCAGCATTTGGCAACAGCGTGTACACACTCACACACTCACACACACAAGCTGAGGGACTGGTGTCTATTTTGGGCCCAGCCTTGGTATTGTCAGGAACACATGACTAGAGTCGCAATGTCAGTTGCAATATGCAATATACGGTGCCAGAGTATATTGCATTGCCATCACCTGGATCCAATTCT